AGGCATCAGTGCTAACTAAATGCACCAACATGCTTCCCCATGAGCACACGTTGATGGATAAAATTACAAGAAGTGACACACACCTCGCAAATGATTATACAACAGTTGTTTCTTGTAGTGACACTCTTAAGGGTGGCTTGGTGCACAGACCTACATACAGACCTCAGGTAACGTCAGGTAACCTGTTTAATAATGATTATCACCATCATTATTTATAAAGTGCCGCGTTCAAAAGCCAAAAGAGTTCTACAAAGTTACATGTGCATTTAAAAAAATCCGATGAAACGACAGCGAGCAGCTATACTGAGTAAGGCACCGTTTGCAGTATTATCATTATGTTTGTTTAGCAGATGCTTTTGTCAGAGGAAACGTACGAGTGCAGAAAGTTTGGGATCGTAGAACAGGTCCAGCCGGCCTCCCTGGAGCACTTTGGGGTTAAAGGCCTTGTGCACGAACCCGACCGTAATGTGAGTAACCGGGATTGCTCAGGTTACAGGATGTAAACCCACAACCTTCCAAATACAGGTCTCAAACCTATGGAGCAACACACAGCCCCAGTAACAAATTTTTTTAATGATAAAAACAGAGTAGAATGTAGAAAAAAGGAGCTAAATAAAGGTAAACAAATATGAACTTGAGGCTGGATAGATGGTGCTGTTTGTGCGGCGTGAGGCTTTCTGCGTTCTGTGCAGTGGTTGATGGTGCATTTCCATATAAACACACGTCACCTCTGATCCTGACTGTGGCTTTTGAAGGCCGACGGAGCACTGGAGGTGGGCTTTTGTGCTGGCTTGCAAGAGCGCACAGCATGCGGGCCACGGAGGACGCCCGTAGCAAAGACGTCTCCTCTGTCTCGCAGGCGGCATGGCAGCGGTCCAACCAGGGGAGAGCATCGTAAGCTGCCTGTCAGCCCGCACACGCCCAGAATAATTTCACTGCAAAAGGACACGGGGCTGAGATCAAGGAGACTCGCTGTCGCTCCAGGAAACAGACAGCAGAGGCGCTGTGTTTGCCTCCCCACTCACTGGGCACGTTCTGTGGGAATTATGAATGAGCTCACAGCTGAAGAGTCAGGCGTCGCTCGGGTTGTAATCCCACCTCAAGGCTCCTCCGCCATGTTCAGTATCCCAGCAGCCGCTCTGATATGAATATGGGTGTGGATGAAGTCGCGTGTGCCACTGCATCCACCTCTCTGCCTGGCGGCCAGTGCACGGTCTGCATGAATGAAGCTATTTCGGTTATGTGCCGCACTGGGGAATTGCAAATTAGCATGTCGCCGCTGACTCTTAAAGGGGACTCGTGAAAGTTCATGTAGGATCGCAAAAAGGCGTCAGACGAATCCAGTGACCCAAAGCACCTCTACATTCAGTCTCACTGTGGTGCTGATTTGACCTCAGTGAATTAAAAAAAAAAAAACCACTGTGAATGTGAATACCTTAGGGCTCTGTGGAAATTAAGTGAATGAAGGTGAATAAAGGTTTTCTACACTATAAATAATCATATATACTAATAGTACATGTACTGTATGTAGAGAACTGTATGTATATATAGTTCACAAATAAACTGATGAATAGTGTGATATAACTGGCTGATGGGTCGTTAATCTCCAACTGGTTTATTCATCAGATAAACACAATCACTATTAACAAGTGTGCATACATCATGCTTTTGTAATCAATACAAATATTCTGAAATGCAGCTGTATGCTGAATCACATGTCATATACTGTATAGCCTTCATTTTCAATCAGAAATATGCAGTTGTATTGTAGTTAAGAAAAAGCTTTATTAAAAGAAGCTTGGCAAGTTAGCCTATGTAATTAGGCCAATTTGAAATGTGAGCAGCCATCCAGACCCCGGGGTCCATTTCTGCAAACTTGATCCTGAAGTCAATGAAGATAACCAGACAAGGAAGAGCATTTTAATCTTGTGGAGACTCTAATGAGTCGGCCTGCCTTTTAGTCACAGGAGACGTTCATTAGTCTTCAGAGGGGAGAGTGTTTGCTTGATATTTTGAGGTCAAGAAAACAATTTTAATGAAATGCATGCAGAGAGCATCTGCAGTAAAACTATAGAGCAATTAGTCTCAATGGATGATTTTCAGGTAGTTAGAAAAATTGAAGGATATAAAAACAAAAGGATTGCATTTTGTGGTGAATAAATTTTATATTTGATATGTCACATTATTGTTGTTTGCAGTATGTTTTATTTTTTAGTGCACCGGTTATATGTGGTATGACTGATATATTGTTCTATGCGGATTTAAATGAGAATATTTTATTCGAGACTTACATATTTACAAATAAAAACGACACGTTAATCTTTAGAAAGCTTTCATTTGAATTAGCTCACATTTAAGTGCTGTAAAGAAACAGTAATCGTGTCTGTATAAAACATGTATTATTATTATCATTATTGTTGTTGTTATTTTTGTTAATATTATTGTTGTTGTTGTTATTTTTATTGCTTCTGCAGTCATTATTGCTGCAATACATGTATTTTCTCAAGAACTCGAATAGACGTCCTGCTGAGCCCTACTAAAGCGATTTTATCCATTACGCACATCTCTGTCCAGGTAGAGGGGAAGGGCGGAGATATTTTCTTGGACCGTTCTGTTTTGGTGTTTACAGAGAACATGTACAAAAACGTAGCTGAATATGTATGATATATAATGCATCGCATGCACAGACCGAGGTCGATGTCTGGTGCACACACGAGACCATCGGACTGGACCACCTTGTTTTCCTGAATGAAATTTTATGCCCTGCTATAAATAGAACGGGGCTGCTGACGTCACAATGGAAGCTGCGACCGTGTCGGTACTGTGAGCTCGCGGATGAATTCCTCAAAGAGCATTTGGGAGGAAAAACAGCACTGATTCGGGGCAGCAAAAAACGATAGAACTGTGCGCACTGTGTTGTTATATTGGGGAAAAAGGATTAACTTTGCACAAGCTGGGAGATAAGACCGATTACGACATGATCTTGCAGCGTTTGGCTAGCTAGCGCCGGCTTCACAATATTGTCTTAACTATAGTAATTATATTTGCACACTTTGAGGTCTTGCTCTGAGTTCAGTTTGGGTTTACGAAATTAAAAACACACACAACGGTAGGTGCTTTTATATACTCAACACGTCAGCTGCCTGCCAGCTAAATAGGGACCGCGTGGTGTCCTTATTTAATTGTCTCCTGTTTTTTCCTTTGTAGCTCAGTATTGGTTGGTCTGGCTGCTGTGGATGTTTGAAAAGCATTTGTTAAACTAAGAAGCATTTCCTTGTCTGTTTACAACGCTCCGTACAACCGTGTGGAATGATAAAACCAATGGTGATTAGTTTGGCATTTTTTGACAAGTTAGCAAATGGAACATTTGAAAACTATGAAAATATCCAGTTCACTCGCATCTTTATTATTGTTTACCTTGAAGTATATGGAAGTACTTTGGGGGTATGTAATGTCGTTAAAACAAACGAACAGAGTGGAATTTCTCAGTGGTCGGTATTCAGGCAATGAATATGTTTGACTTTGCTGAATGGCATACTAAAAAATAGCTGTCGACTTGTATAACAAATGTCCACGACAAAAACCACATTTCGTGAAACTAGTCTAAAATAGCTAAAATGTCGTTAACTTTCTAAAGGATTTTCATTTGCATTGGATTTATGAGCGGTCAAACCTTATAAATTATAGTTTTAGAAAATGTGCTATAGCAATAATTTTATTGAAATGTATTAATATTCAGTGGATGTTATATCTGCTACCTTTAGACTGTTGTTCCGTTTGTATGTTCACCTAGTAAGACAGACGGGACATCAGTGCAGCGGCAGAATAAATCGATTGTTTACATTGTACGAGTTAGCAGAGAGATCACGCCTTTCTTACACGGGCCTTTGCGCCCATCTGATCGAAAGTAGCCGCTTTATAGCGCAAACATAATATATTAAATTATGCGGTATTCTGCTTTGTGTCCAGTGTTCACTTTTTATACCGGTTCCGACTGTTCATTAACAGGATGCTGACATAATTGAAACGCATTTCAGGCAAGTATTTTTCGCGTTACTGTAGTCTACTTTCCTGCAGTGCACGGATTGCACAAACCTGCGTATCGATTTTAAGTTACTGATAAATTTCCGATGACGTTAGCCAAGTCCTTGTTTTTTTTAAACAGTTAAAATATTTTGACTCATTGAGCTTGAAACCTTTCTGTAGATTACATTTAGGCATAGCAATTATAAAGGCAACAGATTCAACCATAAGGTCAAACTGGTTGTTTGTTTGTTACGGTAATGAAATTACTTTCTTATTAAGCATTGGTTACTTTGTATTATACAATATGCACGCTGTTCATTATATAACAGTAATAATTGGTGGTTACATTATTTATTTGTGAGGTGATTCTGATATACCAACAATGTGAATAATTTAGCTAATGTCAGTACTTCAGTGTAGCAACCTAATGACTGATCTGGGGAGAAGGGTCAGTATCCCAACAGTATCTAAAATAGTTTTGAATCATGTCCGGACTCTTCTCGTCATTCATTTCCATTGGAACTTCAGGCATAAATATGTTCTTTCATGGTACCCCTAATGATCTAGGAACAGTGACCCTCGATTTTACATGCATGCTCTTGTGAAGAATTGTGATCAAGTATAAAATGTTTCCAGGTAGTGCAAAAAAACTGTGTTTTTAATTTCAGAACTATATTGATACATTATGAAAATATAAAAATGAGGTTTATGCTTAGCTAAGTCAGTTGCTGGTATGGAACATGAGAAGTATTGGTAGCAAGCTTGCATGTGAAATATTATCTTCTTCGTCCTGTGTGTGTTTTGCCATGAAGGGAATCGGGAGGTGTGACCCCTGTTATGGACTACGAAAGGCCCAACGTAGAGACCATCAAGTGCGTAGTGGTGGGAGACAATGCTGTGGGGAAAACACGGCTCATCTGTGCCCGGGCCTGCAACACCACCCTAACCCAGTACCAGCTGCTGGCCACCCATGTCCCCACGGTCTGGGCCATCGACCAGTACCGGGTCTGTCAAGAGGTACAGACCAGCAACATGCCAAAGTCGTCATTGTTTTTCAGTGGTTTCCTTAACTGGAATCAGATCAGTTTCTTTTCTAAAAAAAATGACTTGTCCCAGGTCCTGGAACGTTCCCGTGATGTTGTGGATGAAGTTAGCGTGTCCCTCAGATTGTGGGACACTTTTGGGGACCATCACAAGGACAGACGCTTTGCATATGGAAGGTATGTTTCTGGGTATGTGCCACAATCCCTGGGGAGAAAAATGTGTTTTATGATTTTCACCACAGAAATGTTTCGCTACATATTAGTCCATATAACCAAAAAGAGTGATGAGTGACACTGATAAAGACGAAGTTAGAGGGTGTCCTCTTGGTGTGGACCAATTGTAAGCATGTTCAGATCTTCTCTGTTTATTTCATGGAAGAATAACATTGAATCAGGGCTATTTAATAAGTTAACTGCCCACAATTTTTTTATTGATGATTTCCAATTGTGAATGATGTCTGTTAAAATTAAGGTTATGTGTGAGGGTAGATTTTATTTTCTCAAAGATACAGCAGGACAAAAAACAGCTGTTGCTTTGTTGGCCAGCGTGTGACCATCCTGGAACCATCCAAGAAGTTACACTACACTTGTTAGCAGCCATGTATAGAACTGCTAAACAGTTTGCTGGCTAAGTCATGCATTTAATGAGGAATATGAGGTCAGACTCAGACTGCAATTGACCCGTGAATTCGTGGCTCTCTTAAAGTTAAGTAATACTTGCATTCTCAGTACTGTACAATACTTTGAGCAATTGCTCTCCATCTTGGCGTACGATGCGGCCTGCTTGTCATTGGGTGTGGCGTCAGTATTAATTAATCCCCTGACCCCTGTCAAGAGAATGCAGTTCCTCTGCTGTCGGCCGCTCAGATGGAAACTAAAGCAGAACCAGAGACGCGAGCCCACAGTTGGACAGTCCGATGCTGCCAGCTGATGTATGAGAAGCATCTGGGGACAGTGTCACATCCTAAAATGAGTGGAGACAGCGAGTCTGCTGGGAGACAGGCTGCCAGATGGGCGTGGCTCTTTGGTGCGACGATGCCTCCGTTTGATTTGCAGATGAAGTCTCCCTTTCCCTGATATGACTGGCCGGTTAGCACTGAGCATGATGTAACCCAGATTTAGTGGCTGGACCTCAATTCTGCTAGAAGGAGCTTCTCTCGCGAGCATCTTTGCACAGGGATTCTGGGCAGAATTAGGAGCTTCGTACCTGAGATTTCTTTCGCCCTCCTACACATTAAAACACTGAAACGTGTGAGTCACGTGTCCGTCCATCGATTCAGACCTGCCACAGAGTCTCAGGCGCCTGCTGACCCAGGTCTAGAGCCCATCTGGAAGCTTGCCAGAAAAGCCCGTTATTAATATCACTAGAAAGAGTGACCTGACCGCAGAGAGCAAGATGTGTGCGGGTGAATCGGAGGGGAGTGAAGTGCCCTCCAGGAATATCTCTTTTAAGCACAGGGTTGATGCCGTTCACTAGGGCGCCTCGCCCACTGGTCCAAAAACCAGCCAATTTGCATGCTACCTTACAGACAGTGTTCCTAAGCAGATGCAGAAACTGTACCTGCCCCCTGGATCCATCTTTGTTTTAGTTAATGCATAGAAAACCTGAGTTTAGTGAATTGACAGGAGGCAGAATAGCAGACAAATCCATGACAGACACCACATTCGTTTCAGCGTGGGCAGACGAAAGCCTAAAGAACTAAACTTTACCGGAGGTTCAGCAGTAAAGACTCATCCAGACTATGTTTACCGTATCCACTGTAAAGCTGCAGGGGCAGAATCGATCAATTCAAGGTGCATCACTGCCAGCCTTCCAGGCAGTATATATATATATCCATGTCCCTGTTTTATCCTTGGATGAAAGGTTTTATCAGTAAACTGTTTCCCTTTGTTTGAATGTTTCCCTTCAGTCTCAGTCAGTGGCTCTTCCTCAGTGAGGCAGATTGACTCCCGCATCAGTGACACCGGTTCACCCCGATTTTTAAGTTGAAACAGATAATCTGTAAGCTGTCTTAGCCGACCAATCAGTTTCTCTTACATCACAACGGCTGCTCACGTTCATTCCTATATGTCATGATATTTGATGGTGTGCCAAACACGAGTGGTGCATGTGCTCAGCCGCAGTGAAATCACTCCCGTAAAGCCATCTTTCGGGAATCTGTGGCCTGTTCTTGACCTTTTAAAATGTGATTTGTGTTGCTGAATCAAAAAGAAGCCGAATTGCAGTGTTGTACTGTACTTGTTTTTGTTTATAGGCTGCCTATGAGCTATATTCAGGACTTGGCAATGAGAGAAACTGTAAGTTCTGTAGTCACATACCTCCTCAATACTCATGCTCTATGCACTTTGAGTCTGGTTGCAAATGAAATGAAGTATTGTGTGGCGTGGACGCTGCACCCGCTGCTTGCAGAGTCAGATAGTGGTGCACGATTCCTTTTGTTGAAAAGACAGACCAGTGACCATATATGCTTTGTTTGTTTTTTTGTTTTTTTTTTTCTTTCCTCACGTGATATGAACCTCGTCTCCTCAGGGTAGACAGTGTACTAACCTAGAAGTGTGCCAGCACTGTGTCCCTCTGTTTGCATGGTTTTGTTTTTTGTTTTTGTTACCTTGGTAACGATCCTCAACGTGGCAGTCTGAAAAAGCATTGCCTGGGGGGGTGGGGGGCTCTCCACTAAAGCTGTCAAGCCATCTCAGAGGCGGGTGTGGACGAGGCAATCTTTTCGCTAAGTCTTTAGAGGTCAATGTGGCAGTCCTTCAGGCTGACATTGATAATGTGGGAATTGTGCATGAATGTGGGGTTCTTTAGGACCGTAGTGCTTCCGGGCAGATACCGCTTGGCGTCTGTGATGTTTGACACCCGTGCTGGTTATTTTAGCATGCCGTCGTCGTTGTCCTTGTCCGTGTTTGCACCTCGCCCTTCCCGGGCCTGGCGGCGGCACGTCAGACTGCTGCTTCGACGTTTTCTCCCTATGTCCTCCCGTAGGTCAGATGTGGTGGTGTTGTGCTTCTCCATCGCCAACCCCAGCTCCCTCCATCACGTGAAGACCATGTGGTATCTGGAAATCAAGCACTTTTGTCCGCGGACGCCCGTCATCCTAGTTGGGTGCCAGCTGGACCTGCGGTACGCGGACCTGGATGCCGTCAATCGAGCTCGACGGCCACTGGCCAGGTAGAGATATCCAGATACAGTTTGACTTCCTCTTTTTCTCATATTTCTTCTTTCACCATCAAAGGTCAAGTTCATGGTTTAAAATAACCCAGCAAAATGCTGTTCATTCTGTTCCAATCAAATCAAACAGGCTTCATTACATATAAATATAGAACTTGGTCTATAGCTTTGGTTTGGTTAGCTGGTCAATATAGTTGTACCACTGATTCAGAACATTTAGATAATTTTTTATTGTTTTTAGCTTATGAATATAGGATGTTTCAAAGCTAATGCTTTAAATAAATATATATATATACACCGCTGATGTTGCATATAGGACATTATGTAAATTGAGTGATTATATGAAATGGACTGATTTCACCTTAATTCCTGAACAGGCCTATAAAACCATGTGACATCCTGCCACCAGAGAGTGGCAGGGAGGTGGCCAAGGAGCTGGGCATTCCCTACTATGAGACCAGTGTCTTTGACCAGTTTGGCATTAAGGACATCTTTGACAATGCCATTCGAGCTGCTCTCATCTCTAGAAGGCACCTGCAGTTCTGGAAATCGCACCTGCGCAAAGTCCAGAAGCCCCTTCTTCAGGCACCATTCCTGCCCCCGAAGGCTCCTCCACCGCTGATAAAGATTCCCGAGTGTCCCTCCGACAACACCAATGGCTCCCGGCACCTTCTGGACAGGCCGCTCTGTGCTGATGTGATGTTCATCCTGCAGGACCACATCCATGTCTTCGCTCACAGGATCTACCTGTCTACCTCATCTTCAAAGTTCTACGACCTCTTTCAGATGGATTTATCTGAAGAGTCGCCATGCCTGGTTGTGACCAAGCGGCCTGGGCGAGATCACCTGATGAGGACTCTCAGCTTGGACACGGAGGAAGACGCGGCTGACCTGAACACCCTCTCCCCCTGCTCCCTCAGGACATCCAAGAGCGATGGCACCTTGAAGATGATGAGTTTCAGCGGGAAGCACAGGAGGACAAAACTGTCCCTGGCTTCTTGGAGCAAGGCTTTCTATAGCATCCACAAAGAGTCCGTCATCAATCCAGTGACCAACACCCTGGCACCCATGACAGTGGTGAAGATGGACTATTCCATCCAGCTTGGTCCATTCTGTGCGGTCCTCCGCTTCCTCTACACGGGAGAGCTGGATGAGAAGGAGAAGGACTTGATGAAAATTGCACAAATAGCAGAACTCCTTGAGGTGTTTGACCTCAGAATGATGGTGGAGAACATCATGAACAAAGAGGGTTTTATGAATCAAGAAATCACTAAAGCATTCCATGTCAGAAAAGCAAACAGAATCAAAGAATGCCTGGCTAAGGATACTTTTACAGGTAAGAAATTTTTTCCCCCCACAATTTATGTGTGAATTTCTTACTCCCGACATTTAACAGCCGTGATAGAAGTGAAATGATGTTTGAAATGTTTGTTCAGAATTTCTATCCACTAAGGCACCACTCGCTGTCACGGTAATGTCAATAAATGGATTTCTCGACAAGCTTTTGAGTTCTTGTTAAATTTGCCCGAAAATCTTTCAGCAGATCGAGCACAGACTGACCTTTTCATTACGTGAAAAGGGAAGCGGGTGACGTGCCGATATTTTCCAGCCCGACGGGCTTCAATCCCCCGGGATTGCTGCTTCATCGTCGTTTGTTGTGTTTTTCGTACGGCTCTGGCAGATGTCACATTCAGGCTGGATGATGGAACCATCAATGCCCACAAGCCATTGCTGATTTCCAGCTGCGACTGGATGGCCGCCTTGTTTGGAGGCTCGTTCTTGGAGAGCTCCAATAACCAGGTACATCCGCAACCTTCAACATCAATGACTTCCTACCCCCTCAAAATGACACACTTACTGAGGCTCGCATTACGTTGGTAAGGGTTGATCGTGAACCTTAGCCGACTTCCATGCAGGTGGTGCTAGGTCACGTTTCACACGCACACGAAACCAGCCAAAATACATCACATCTTCGAGTCATTTCAATCGATCAAAATACAGCGTTCTTGGACGTATGCTGTTGTGCTGGTAAAAATAATGCTAAATCGATTGAGTGAAATATGAATACACCTATACTGTGTGAATATTTTCCTTGGGACAATCCCATAATATTCCATGGCTGTCATGTGTAAGGCCTGCGTTTTTTTTTTTTTGTATCATTTTGTGGCATTATAATAGATGCATCTTTAAAGCTGTTAAAGTTAAAATGAGTGAATGACTAGAGAAGTTTTGAGTCATAGGTACCCGGTTGTGAGATGCCTTGACAGGTCAGTGGTGATGCTGGTTACTTGGTGATGACAGCAGCCACAGATTCTATTCTGGGGACACTCTGCACCCTGGTACGGAGAACTGCGGGATATGCTTACAGTTTGCCTCCTGTCGCATACAAAGCGAGCTGTAGAAAACAATAAAGCAAACAACTGTGACGGAATATTCGAGCGAGGGGGGGGGGGTGCCCGTTGCCGGGAAACCTTAAAATGTCCTTGATGTCATGTTTCACTGAAACAGATAGACGGAACCTGCATATAGCGCCCCGGTGCATCTTTAAGGACCTGCGTCGCTCCTGGCTAACATCTCGTGCCCAGATACGATACGAACGAGGACACTTTTATTTTAGCTTGGAGGTGTCCTACTTTTGTTTTCAAATGTAGCGCGTCGCAGGAATGTCAATACTGACTAACACTTGGCTCTGCGTCAACCCAGCTTGGCTGTCCGGCCCGCAGCCTTCGCCCTTGAGGACTGTTATGTAATCTATTTACGTAGGAATTTATCGGTACGACGTGATTACGAATGTCTGCAAATGGTGAGGAGTTAAGATTGAGTCTTAGTCTAACCCGTCTGTTAGAAATTCTTCAGGAGGTGAGAATTCTAAGCAGGGTTTTAAATTAACTGCACACGTTGTGCTAGAAGCTGTTCTATGATTTATGTAGGAGGAGAAATATAGATGGAATATGCAAAGATCATTCATTTGCGTAAATGATGCCAGATGGACATTTTTATCGCATATGTGCCATTTACACTGTCTGCTAATACACTGTGATTCAGGTTAGATGGTAGAACAGTCAAACAACCCAAGACGTTTGGTTCATCCCTTACCAGCTGGTATGATCATTTTATACTTGGCTGCACATGTCGGCGTTCGTACCTTTTAGTGCAAGATGCTTTGCCGCAACTCTGCAGGTCACACTTTATTAAAATAGCTGGGATTTTTCATGCGCTGGTCTGAATTGTTGGAAAGCGTCACAGAACAGACTGTGTAATCTCACATTTATATTTATCTAGGAAACACAGTTGGTACCCAAACAGAAAAACACTCACAAAACATTCTTTTGTGTATCTTTCCTATTTGCGTGGTTTTATTCGACAATCAAACGATTATTAAAATGACTTACCTTTCAAGGGCGACGCAGTTGAGACGTGGATAGAATGTAAACACGTTATGTAAAATACTCGTACAGGAAAGAGATGATGACATGTTATAAATATCGTAACTTGAAGGAGTAAAAGCGTGTTGTGAAATGTAATTAGATCAAATTCAAATTTAATCAGTATGAAAATATGATAATCAAATGGGGTGTGTGTGTGTGTATATATAATATAATCTCGGGCAATTAAAATTGGGATGACAATATGATGATTAAATTATGTATAAATATAAACTGGGATTCTTACTGGTACTAACCTCAGTGTATGGACATGAATAAATGAACATTCTTACCTAAACCTGTTCCAGCAATAGGAATACCCGTCACCAGTGACATGTTGCAAGATATTCGGGCTCCATTCTGACTCAACACCATTCCCCCCCCCCCCCCACACCCTATCCCGGCCCCCCCTCTGTGCCCCATATTGTGTGTCAGGTCTCCTTTCCCAACACCAGCAGGGTGTGCATGCAGGCAGTGTTGGAGTACCTGTACACCAATCAGCTGTCTCCGCTGGCAGACCTCGACCCAATAGAGCTAATGGCACTAGCCAACAGACTGTGCCTTCCTCGCCTGGTAGCTCTGACAGGTCAGTGCTCTTCGTCTGGAGTCTGCCTCAGCCTCGGGACGGCGGCCAGCATAACATCCGGGAGGAAAAAAATAAAACAGTACTGATCCGAAATATCACCTGCCCAGATAGGCCTGACTGCATTAAAACTACCGGTTCACACTGTTAAGTTCAGAGTGGATGGTAATCGCAAGTCTCACGTTTCAGGCTTCATCGTCACATGTATTCAGATGGAACGAGGTGGAATTCTGAGGCTAGGGCCGGGGACACGTGCGGACAATAGGACAGTATAGGACAATGCAGTATAAGAGTTTGTGAACAATAAATAAGTAATGAATAGGATACAATGGGGATAAGGATGTACAAATAGACCACAGAGTGTGTGTATACAGAATTGTGCAAAAGTCTTAGGCAGTCAATGAAAATTATATTTAAATTATCTTCATGTGGGTGTAGATCTATGACATCTGCTGTCCGTTTAGCCATTTCAAAACCTCTCCCAAAATCACCCCAGTATTTGTAGCAACCATCTCATCCACCCACGTATTTCTGTGACTCAGTCATTACCCCCAGCTTCTTTGGCTAATCAGCACCTTACTGAGTTAACTAAGTAAGTAAATTAATTGATCGAGCTGGTGGAGAAATTTTAACAAATACATGGAATGGCTGAGGTGCCCCTGAGGAGAGGTTTGGGAACTTAATCTGTGTTCATCTAACCATCCAGCGAGATATCCAGTAACTTTTTTGGTGTTACTGTGTTTTTCATAGATATTTTTTCCACATGTATTTTAGATTAGCTTGAGTCGGGTTTTTGGTTTTCTTGCCTGCATTTTGAGGTCGCAACCTCATAATCATTCGGGTCACTCATATCCACTTCACAGATATGCAGTGACTAGCCTGCAATATTTGTCAAGTCATAATCGAACCGCGCTTTGTCCCACAGAGCAGTATGCTGTCTGTGAGCTGACAAAGGCTTCGAAAGAGGGCCAGGACATAGACGGAGAAGTCCTCACCTACCTTGAAATTGCTCAGGTAAGTGTAGTACCACAGTGTAAACAACGCTTGCAGGTTGCTTATAGTTAATACAACCAGGGATGGAAAATAAAACCCTCAAGGAATCAGATTAAAAGTGTAGGACCTCCTTTGATGTTTTTCGTCTCTACAGTTCCATAATGCTAATCAGCTAGCTGCTTGGTGCCTGCATCACATATGTACTCACTACAACAGCGTTTGTGCCAATTACCGCAAAGAAGTCAAGTCCAAATTACCCGGTAAGAATCCTTATCCTTTTAAGTACTGAGTGATTTACTGAGTGATTATTTCATTAAACCATGACGCCATCCGACTAACAAGTGCAGGAAATTCTCATTTTGTTTATTCACTGACCAAGCATTACGAGAAGTACTGGAAACGAAAAAGCACTGTACTCTGACATTTGTTTGGCGATTGGGGTAAGTTTCTTTTTTCTTCTTTTTCCATTCGAGCAGAGAACCAGGAGTACTTTGAGAAGCACAGGTGGCCCCCAGTGTGGTACCTGAAAGAGGAGGACCACTACCAGCGTGTGAAGAAGGAAAGAGAGAAGGAGGAACTAATCCTCAACAAGCACCATTCCAGACGCCGGTGGTGCTTCTGGAGCACCTCCACCATGGTGGCATGAGAGCCCCGCTGGGATTGGCCGCTTTGATCAGGCTCTGTGATTGGGTGCTGTGTTCTGGGACACTGTCAGCATTTTATGTCTAGTAATTCCTCATCTTGACCTTCAGAGATTGTGCCTGTTGGTGCACTGATGGTCTGTTTCCATACAAAACACTGGGCAAACAATAACCTTCTTCAGGTTTGAAGCACAAGCCACCCACCCAGACAACGCAAGTCATCAAAGCATACAGTTGACACCACACCCATCCCAGAGCACCCCCACACCGTCCCCAACGCTCTCCATATTGACACAGCTTCCTGCGTACAGTGGATGGAGATTGTATTTGTGGATTGTATTTGTGGCTATTTTTTTCCATTGATGGCTGGGTTTGACGTGCTGAAAAGGCACCTATGTCAAATTAGTCTATGTTTAAAGTCATTTACAGCATCCGTTAAGATGGAAAGTACGGTAAATAGATCACACCAGGTGTCACTACGAGTGGCATCTGTTTCCATTGTAAATGTTGATTCATCTGGTGAGGCAATCAAGTACTTAATAACTCATCAAGGTGACAGTAGTTATAGTAATAATCATGTTTAGCCAGCTCCTGACGCAATAAACAATCGCTAGCTCTAGAACGGTAAGATCGCTGCTAACGCCGGGCCGTCATTCAGCCCCTCGCGTGTCGAGCGTTGTGCTCGCCGTGTCTGTCACCGACACGCAGTCCTGTGAGCGCACAGCAGCTTGATTGTCAGGCTTGGCAGCAGCCTCGACTGGATTTAGGCAGAACTGCGAATGCAATAACCTTTTTTTTTTTTTTTTGCCTATTCAAAAAGAGGAACCTGTCAGTGAGGCACCATCTACACCCTGACAGGTTTCAGCCGGAGCTGCAAATTTCACACTTTTAACTGCAGCTGTGGAATTATTTTTGTAAAACCTCTCAATGTACTGGTGCGGCATAGCATTGATATATGTATTTAAAGAATTGTCTCTTGTAATTAGAAGGGCTTAGTACTGTAAATTAGTTCAGGGTTTACTTGATATGGACCTTAACTCTAAATTACAACTTAGCTGCTTCTCACTTATTATGACCATTCTGCTAGCTGTTACCTATTTCAACAGTTAATCACAGTCTGTTAATGTCTATCAAAAGATATGTAAAATAAGGCGATAGAAAAGCCTTCAGTACCCTGTTAGCAGTGTACAATGTGCAGATATTATGGAGTGGAATTCCAGTCATGCTGTATGAATCCAGCTGCAGGTCTTCCGCCTTTGAAGAGCATATCTCTTTGTTGTGTTTAGGTAGAGGAGTTTTACGTGTTTGTGAATATTTTTGAGAAACTGTTTTAAGACCACTTTTTGCTGCTGCCGTTAAACTGGAATAGTGAACCTTGAAACGTTGGGGGGAGGGGGGGGGGAACGAGTATTTGTTGGGTAGGTTTTTTAAGCTTAGTCAACCAAAGCGGTCAATGAAGTAGATTGTCAATCTTTACTAGATACCATGTGATTGTCATCGTTGGTGAATGCGCAAAACCTCTCATCAGCTGCTAGGTACCAAGTGGCTGGCTCATTTGGTTCTTGCTGTCCAAGGCCTTTGATCGTGCTGATCATTATCTTTAAAGCTGTTTGTTTAATTATTTATTTTTTAAAGGGAACACTATTGAATAAATTGATTTTACTTAAGTGCAATGCGCTTTTATTGCCGTGTGCTTAAAAGCCCTCCCGTAATACAATTAACGCACAATTTAATTTACAGTGCCTGATGTATAGTGTGATACATAAAGGTGTGTGATGATTAGTCCAATCATGGGTTTTAATCTAGCATTAGACATTTCTGTTATACCTTTTATCATTTTACACACGTTGTACAATTTTTGTGGCACAAACACTTAGCACATATATAAAAATGTATTCTTGTTTAGTGTATTGAAGTACCTAAAACAGATCTGATTATTTCAGGCTGTAACTGGCTTTAATTAAACAATATTTAACATCTCGTGCCTGTGCCACAAGTTAATTTAAACACGGAGAGTGCGAATGTCAGTTTCTATACAAAACCACGTGACTTTTGGCGGGCGAAAGCCTAAGGATCTCTGCAGTCCCTCTTTCCCATTCTATAATATGACATCTCACACCAGTCGTTATCCGTCACTGAGACAGGCCTACGTGCTGTCTGTCTAACAAATTATACGTAGGCTGTATGCTGTCCTGCTGAGATGTCAGCTGAGGGAGACAAAAAAAGTCACATTTACCCTACTGAGCTAGTACATGCTGCTATTTATGGCTTTAGATAGCCATCCATCCATCCATTTTCTGAAACCGCTTGTCCTATTCAGGGTTGCGGGGGGTCCGGAGCCTGTCCCAGAGGCTATGGGCGCAAGGCTGGAAACGACCCAGGATGGAGCGCAAACCCATTGTAGGACATGACTTGAGATATTAAAACTGGAAAAAATAAAGATATAGCCTACATGGTGGAAGCTCTTTTAAAACAGAAAATACACCAGAATAATGACATTTACAAATCCTCTCATGTGCAATCATGTACGTGGGCAGGAACATTAACGCACAGGACGGATCTAGGGGCATATAGGGAACCGGCGAGAACCCCGGTCATAAACGGGGAACCTTCCACGGGTATCAGCAGACAACCTGTTTTGTGAAATGCATATGTACTGAGGTCTGTGGAACGTCATTTTTACAAAATTTGCCACCCTCAAATCAACTTTCGTGACTTTCTGCGGAAATAATAAAAGGGTACTCTTGTAAGTATGGTCAAGGAAAAAAAATTAACTGACAAGCTTAGAGGTGCAGCTATTAGATACATTCCTTCAGCGTGTATAAGGAACGGATCTCTATTTTAAAGCCTACCATGGTGGGCTCTTCTGTAAATTAAGGCACAGCATTAAAGATTCCTAACATATTGTTGCTCAGTATCACTATTCATCAGCAATGCCAGGCATGAACGGTGGATAACGATGCGTACGTTTTGTTATTCGGCATTGTGAGCCTTAATAGGAAGTCGATAATCTAAGCTCTCAAAATGTTTAAAGATTCATGATCTGAAAATAAATACTCCAAAAATAGTAGGTACATTATATCTTGCCATGCAGCCAGAACGACAGACAACTGAGGTTTGCACAAGCTTATATTGTAGATTGCATACAAATCCCATGTACTTACATTTTGTGTGGTCATTGCTAATTTAATTGTAAAAAAAATGTTACATGGTTTACTGTGCAGGTTATTGTGCATATAACTTGTGATAAGGCTGTGCCCCATTTAAAATAGGTTTTTCCTCCATCTGTCCGTTCCTTGCTTGTTCTGCACATCCCCTGTGCTTATCATCAATACAAAATCTCATTATATAACTTGACTTGGCTGGGAGCAGAGTGCATTGCGCTTATGACGTGTTTTTTCACCGTCGGTGGAAGATCCTGTTAATGCCCCGACTTGGCCGACTGTCGGATCCAGGGCTGAACTGCGGAGGAAAGGTACTCACACTGGGAGGCGGGAGGTGGTCACTGGTGCCCTCGCGTACGCTGCGGCGACATCCACACTCTGTCAAAGCGCACGTCTTTTCAGCGGGCATGAGATCAACATTGAGTAAGAACACATAAAATATATTTTAAAAGATTTAGCTCAAACATAGAAATGCGGACAATAGAGGGTACCGGTATTTAACACTATGCAGTAGTCATATATTTCTTTCAGCATTTCATACTTTCCTGTCTCTACTTACCGTATCTAAAAATACAGGGATTAAACATTCTGCCCAAGGGTCTAATGACTTTGGCTTCCATTATTCAGAACAGTCAAGCAAAGAATTCACTTTAATAAATCTGAAAAATGTCCCGTTATTTTGAACGGAGATTCGATCTGGTTATTCCCTTACATACAAACCTGCATTCTGACCGTAATCTGTGATTAATATTTGATTTCAGTATAGCGTGACAGGGTTCTACACGAAACATATGAATGTAGCACGAGCTCATGTGCCATTTTTGGCTTCATTAGCTTCACCGCAACCTTGCCGTCCTGAAACAGAATGACTTGCAATAACGTCGCAAAAATCGTGGTTAGAGAGACACCTGGCGGCTGAAAGCCAGATTGCAAAGTCGAAAATATTAAGGAACAGATATTGAATATTACCTTAGTCTGTGCCCAGTGCTGCCTGGTTATGGTCACTACAAGGCTGTACTAGACAAGTAGCTAAGAGAAAACTGACTGAACATTAAAATCACTTACAAGTACCATTTATATGTTCTTCTGACAAGCACACCAACACTGAATCGACTGAAACCTTTTATAGAGTAGGGCAAGATGGCCTCACTTTTGAGAATTACATTTCTAGCAGAAGCAAAAGGAAGAAAAAAGGCACACACACCTGCAACAATTAGGATATATGGTGATTGTTAGGCAAGACATTATTCCTGGGATTTCAAAAAGTGCATTTTAATAATGAAGATAATCATATACACAATATACACAAATTGCTCATCTGGCAGCCTGACAGTATATATTACAGAAAGTTATGCCAAAACAAGACTATTTACAGAGCTAGATTGCATACAAGATGAGAAAGAATATAATGAAAGGAAAACAAACTCAAACAAGGAAACAAACCCATTAAGGGTTGGGTAGAGGGGTCCCCGCTCAGACGTTTAATACTTGTTAATGGTGCTGGCAGGGAGGGTGCTTTTATCAAGATCATCGAAATATGGGTGGCTCAGGGCTTGCCTAGCTGAGATCCGCTTCGGTGGGTCATATATCAGCATTTTCTACAAGAACAAAATGGGGGAAATGAGTCAATTACGGTTTAACAAGACAAATAAAATAACTGACAAGAGCAGTTACAGCAATCTTACCGACAATAAGTTGATGCCGTCGTCATCCAGATTCTTCACCAAGGAAGACAGGCTACAAGACTTCCACTTGGGAAACGTGGTCTTGTAATCAGGCAGGGATTCCACATCTGGCCACACAACGTTGTTTGGAGTGCCCAGGGTCCTAATGTAAAGAAATTTTGTAAAAAACTCTTGTGATACATTAAAGCACACAATACAGAGCCCTTTCAGGACAGGGGGAAGCTGGAGGACACTGTAATGATCTGGCAAAAATCCCGTAAAAGTAATCTCTGCAGAAATAAACAAACTCTATACACGCACAATGGAGGTGGGCCATTCAGAATTCCCAAGCTGAAATGTAAACATTAGTAAGAGCACACAATTATACCTGAAAATCCTAAACAGCTGATCAATTTCTGAATCCCCGTGGAATAAGGGCTTCTTTGTGGCTAGTTCCGCAAAGATGGTGCCAATGCTCCACACATCCACAGGGGTGGAATAGCGTGATGCTCCGAGAAGAACCTCAGGAGCTCTGTACCACAGTGTCACCACCTGCATGACAAAATGGCACCTTAGCAACCTTCAGGGGCAATTAAGGCAGCGAGCAGAGGAAGGCAGAGATACCAAACTCAGCCAAAATCATTTCAAGATGGGCACGCCAACATAGTCACGTTTACCTCATGTGTATAAACACGAACGGGAACCCCGAAGGCACGAGCCAGCCCAAAGTCAGCCAGTTTGATAACGCCTTTGTTGTCTATCAGCAGGTTCTGCGGCTTCAAGTCTCGATGAAGAACTCTTCTGCAGTGGCAAAAGACTATCCCTTGCAAGATCTGATACAAATAACTCTAGAAGGAAAAAGACAAATCTAATTAAACAATGTGATGCACAAGTAACACTCAAATTCAACTTAACTGACCTCGGGGTCGTTCCACGAAACAGTGATCTGGGTTAAGATAGAAGTCATGATTGTCCAATAGGAATGCTCCTCACCTAAACTCTTATTGGACAATTATGACTTCGAGCTTAAGTTAACCCAGCTAATTAAGAAATCCTGCTTCAAGGAACACCCCTCTGGTTAAGTCACCCCCCCTCCCACACACACACAAATCAGACACCACCCACAACATCCTCCAGTTCAATAAACCTGGTTAATCAAATGAGTGCCAGACCTTTACGAGCATAGGGTCCATGTACTGCCCAGATGGGATTGAGTCCAGATATTTCTTTAAATCCATAGAAAGAAATTCAAAGATGAGGTACAGGCGAGATTCCTGCATCAAAACATCCAAAAGGCTGTATAAAAAAAGAAAGAAAAAGTGAATTTCAGGTGAATCTAACAGCACCCCACCCTAATACTTCATTACTCTTTGTATATAATCAGAACGGCCAATCATACCACACAACATTGGGATGCTGCAGTTCCTTGAGCAATGAGATCTCCCTGACAGCTGTGCTGGGAACTCCTTCCTCCTCACTTTCCAATCTGATCTTCTTCATAGCCACCACCCGGCCCGTGGACTTGTGTTTACCCTTGTACACAACGCCATAGGTACCTGAAAAGGGACGCTACTGAAACCATGCCAACACATTTAATCTCAGATGGCAGTAAACAAAAAACCCACTGGGATAATTCAGATAGAGCAGATGTGAAAATGGGATCTAAGAAGCAAAGGACAAAAAAAAATTCCAGACTCACCCTCTCCAATTTTTTCTATCTTTAAGTAATCCTCCATTGGTGTGGTTGTCTAAGACAGATAGCAGTGGAACAAGCAGAACACACGTTACATTAAACGATACATAACATAAAACAAGACATCCCTAAACAACTAGACCAGGGTTCCC